CCTGCGGCACGTACATGTTTTCTCTGTCAGGTTAACCACATGCAATGTTGTCCCATACGTTACTTGTGTTAGATGATCATCTATCTCTTGGACTCCGAACTGCTTTGCATCTTCAACTCTAACCTGTTATGGACACATAAAATGATACATGAGTTCAATGATATCTTTTAGCATACAAAACAAAACTACCATGAAAACATAGCGCAAGCAAGTTTTCCACTTCAGTTGTGAGAGATGTTTGCATTAGACTAGCAACTCGGCGTCTTTTTGCAAACCACCTTGTTAAAAGCATCTTAATATCTTCGAGTAGGCGAACAATGGGCTTACTTCTACCACTAGAGAACACTCTATTAAGCGATTCAGCTATGTTGCTAGTCGTGAAGTTATATCTATCACCTAGGAAATGAGCACGACTCCACTTACACACATCAACCTTTTGCAAATAATCATATAGTTGAGGATTCAAAGCTTGAATCTGTGCATAGTAGGCATTGAACTCTGCTACCGTATATGCTCTAGCAGCCTTTTTCACAAGGCCGAATATTTCTCCCCCTCTGAATCTCAACAAAATGTTCGTATACAAGTGATATCTGCAAATACCACGGTTTGCTAGGGGGTACACATTTCCTATGGCCTTTTCTATATCTCTATGCCTATTTGAAATAATAGCTAGACCTTCATCATTTGGAATGACACGGTGAAGTTCTCTAAAGAACCATTCCCAAGACTCATCATTCTCAGTATCTACAACACCAAACGCTATTGGAAATATATTAAAATTTCCATCTTGGGTTGTTGCGAGTAGTAGTGTACCTTTGTTTTTCCCGTGCAATAACGTGTCATCTACCACAACAACTTTCCTCATGTATGGGAACCCGTGAATGCTTGCAGCAAACGCGACGAACATAAACTTGAACCGATCTTCATCGTCGACATCAAGATTTATAAGTGTCCCCGGATTAGCTCGCATAATCATGTATAAGTAAGATAGCAGTTCTTCATACCCACTTTCCGAAGTTCCAGAAACTAATTGTCGTGCATATTGTAGAGCCCGATGTATTTTCCAGTAATCGACCTGTAGAAAGAGAAACCCAACATAAATCTACCACCACACGTAAATCTACGTAAATAAATCTACCACCTTAAATAAATCTACCACCATAAATCTACCATCATATCACCGGGGTACAAAAATCTACGTAATTAGATCTACCACCTCAAAGTGTACATAAATCTACCGGAATCCATAAATCAGAACATACCCATACCCTTACCTTAATTCCAAATCGTTTTGTCAGCCCATCGGAGACACGGTTTGACAATACAGAAGGTTCAACACCACCGACAAAGTCTTTATAGAGACGTCCTAGAATCTGGTAAGTGGCATGGCGGGTACGAAGTGATCGGACAGTTATAGAACATGTGTGCTTGCTAACGTAAGTCTTAATGTAGAAGATTGAACCATCACCTACAGTTGAAGCACGAACTCGCCATGCACATCCTTGAACCCAACACTTTACCACCAACAATATTGGTGTTGAATATGCAACATCGTAGTCAAATTTTTTAATGACGCTCAGAATTTGCAGGAGCATAATCAAATCATATTTTGTCTGGTAACTTTGGCCAACGGCTAAATCCATTGAACTGATCTCCATCTTAAGAAAATCTGGAATTGTTGCAGGATTTACCTTTGGTGGTAGAGTTTCACCATCATCTTCTACATCACAACTTTCTCCATCCCTTGATTTTATAGAAGTTCCATATTCTTCGTCATCAGAAGTAGCACCATCCGGATCTTCGCATCCATCATATATGGTACTCAAGTCTTCGTCTTCCTCGTCTTCTTCATCTCGTTTTGCTTCTTCATGTTGTTGTTCTTCTTTATCTCCTCCTTCTTCATCTCCTTCCTCTTCAACAGTAACATCTCCTTCCTTCCTAGCAGCAAGACGATTCTCTCCATCTGAACCAAATTCATCGGGAGTTTTTGATTTAATCTCAACACACATGCGAATCCGATCTTCTTTCAATTGCTTGAAAAACTCGTTCAACTGTCTATTATTTGCCACAAATACAGGAGGTGTATCATGTGGTAATCTTTGTAGTACCTCCTTGGACAACATGTAGCTTAATTGCACATCTTGATTTCGCGGATCCAAACCAAAATCTTCAAACACCATTCCCAGAAATCCAGCGAAAGAGGTTTCTTCATGTACCCGCAATATTCGACATCCATTTCCCTTATCTATGCCAAACCTCCATCGATTATTGTGAAAACTCTATTTTCCACAAACCAAAATAATTTGTTCTATTGATTCAAAATGACCAAGACCTTCATAAACCAGCTAAACAGAAATCGAAATAAGGATTTAATAGAGGAAGAACAAGAAGAAGATCGAGATTTTAGTTTCAATGGTCGAACCAGATGGAGAAAAAATGATGGAGGCGGCGGTAACATAGAGTGGGTGAGGAAGATAATTGATGTGTGGCCCCAAATTTTTGTTTTTTTTTTTTTTTTGGTTATTAAAAACCCTTTACTTTACTACTCCTCCTCTCCCAACTAACTCTTCTACTTCCACCGCCGACATCAGTCTCTGTCTGGGCACTCCGCCTCCTAACTCACTCTACCTGACGTCAGCAAGTTGACTTTACTCGAATCCGAGACTGCCAACTCTCGTCGGTAAGTATTTCGCTTTCTCTTCCTTTTCATCTGCCAAATACATCAACTTCTGTGGCAAGTTCACATCTGTTGTAGGTTATAGTTAGAGATTATCGTTTGAATCACTTTGTCTGAGGTTGTGTGGTACTTATACAAGGCCTCCTGCTGGTAGATTTACGTTAACTCTAGGTCTGTTAATAAGCCGCTGTGGTAGATTTAAAATTTATGCACGATCATTTTTAATCTGTTGTGGTAGATTACTTGGTTAGTTGATGGAAGATTTATTTTATCTGCAGTTCTGACTTTATACGCTTCTCTATACTCTCTATGTTTCAGCGTAAAATGGAAACAAATAATGGACTCCACCAAATAAGAGACCTACTCGGGCCGATTCTTCAGAGAGTGGGACGAGTTTCTGCTAAGGACGCATGTCGTGCAGCATGTGCGTCAAAACAACTAAACACAGCATTAAAGGAACCATCTGTAATGCAAGCACTAAACCTATCAGAGTTCATTGCTGATACAACTTTGCTCCAACGATATCCTTACTTCGTCAATTTGGCTCTCTCATCAGACAATCCTCATGCATTATACTTGTACGGGATGAGAACAATAGCTATAGACCACGACGTTGAAAATTCGCTCAGATTTTTCAACAAGGCTTCCAAAGCCGGGATAGACCAAGCAACATTGATGGTCGCTGTTATCGCAACCGCATATGGCCACTATCCAACTGCAATGGAGATGTTGGAAAGAGTTGTAGGTTGGAGATCACGCATGCACTACATGATCGAACTAGGTGAAGAGGTTTCTCGAACCAAGATGGGAATGCAGAGTGCTACTGCAGATCTGTTGCCCAATGTTTTCAAAGTAAAGAATTTTCAAGCTGCAGGTTCAAACACCCATTAATGTGTTGCCACGAGTGCTATCTTTTTCTTCAGTACCAACTGCTTAGATTTCAGTGTTAATAGCGTCTATTTTCTACTATGGATCGCTTTATCTAGCTCTATGCACTTTGTTCGTTGAACGTCTCTAAGTATTTTCTTTCTTTAAGAACTTCTTCTCTATGTACTTTCTATAAAATTTTGAAATGTAATGAACGAGTCTTCAACAATCGCAATAGAGGTTGAATCTCTTCACTGCAATATTCGCATTCTTATCCCGTCCAAAATCAACATCCCACTGATCAACATTTGATTTCAACGTTCTTCACCGTTCAGTACCCCATGAAAAGTCTACCACTATGCAATCACGATCTGTGAAAAAGTCAACTATCTACCAGCACATAATAAGTCTACCACCACCTAACACGATAAATCTACCAATGATGTTATTCTGGTAATTATAGAAAATATAAATCTACTACTACGAAAATAAAGTAAATCTACCACAACAGCAAAATAACTCTACCAGGATTCGTTGGCACTAGAAACTCTACCATCAATAAAATAACTCTACCACCAAGTAAATACAAAATAAGAGTAACAAAAATCTACCACCACAAATACTAAGTCTACCAAATAAAAATAAATCTACCATGCCCAAAAATAAATCTACTGCCATTCAAAGTCAATGAACGTAAAAAGTCAACCAATCAGCCTCTGGTAGGGTCGGAAAAAAAAAATCTTCCATAACATATTTTTAAGTCTACCAAGTTCCCCAACAAATCTACCGTTCAAGAAACAACTCTACCGTTCCCAAAAAATATACTGCGTCATAACCACTTCAACGTCAACAACAAGTCTACCACACGAAACAAATCTACCAACCGTTGACCAGACGAAACAAATCTACCGTCAAACAATTCGCTGACGTGACAAAAGAAAAGTAATGGCACAATCGTAAATATCATTTTTGTTATCAAAGGCTCTAAGGGCATAATCGGTACGCTAGATTAGTTCAGTAATTAAAACAAATTTCAGCTATTCTAGCAAATAGACCTATTTAAAAGAGTATTCTAGTAATCCTCCCTTTTTAAATGGCTTGGGATGTTTTTAGATACCAACAGTAACCAAATTATGTGAGGGGGTAATTTTAACAGCAGATTTCAGAAATAATATTTTTACAAACGGGTTGATGTTTTAATGTGTTCTTGGGGCAGATTTTTTTCCTGACATAGGTTTTGACGAGGTCCTATATTTCTGATAGAATCTTTAATGAAACACATCAGCAAATGAGAATCTGATAATGCTCTCATTTACAAAACATATATCCTATTTAGAAAATCTGAAGACATTGTTACTCCATGAACTCCTCCATTGATATCAAAAGAATTCAATATGCAAACTAAAACAACCAATATTTGAGAAACTAGCAAGTGTCTAGTTATGAGCATTGCTCTGTACAGAAGAAAACATAGAAGTGAAGGGAAAGCAAAAGACGAGAAAGAGGGATTTTAGGCTATTTTGGTGAGTGTTATGGACCATATATGTACAAGGGAAGTAATATGTGACAGAGAAGTGAAGGAAAAGCGGAAGATGATGAGGAAGAACACTAGACGATTTTGGTGAGTGTTATGGTCTTATGGATCATATATGTATTAGGGAAGTAATATGTATGAGTCGGTGTATTTGCAACGAAGCAGAGTCAATTTGAAGTTGAAGTGGATGATGATGCTTCACTGGGAGTAGTAGTCTTCTCATCATCCTGATAAAGGCAAAACCATTTCAAAACTTTCCCATCTCTTTGCTTGAGATCCTCATAATTATAGGTTTCAGTTATTTACCTTAATAGTGTTGGTGGTTGGTTTTGGCGCTGGCTCACGAATCACCTTCAAGTCCTGTTTAGGAGAATAATGCAATTTGATATCTGTTCGAAATATACAATGATAGAACATCAAATCGATGTTTATGATGATAATACTAACCTTAATGTCTTCTAGGAGTAACTGGAAATTGCTATCAACTCTATCATAATCCTCAGCATTCTCAGCACGCGAGACTGCACATTTAAGAGAGAATATGTTGACAAGACGATAGAAATCAGCATTTGTTGCACACGCATCGGAAAGCCCAGTGGATCGATGAAGGTACTGATCAATAACCATCGCAACAACAACATGAACAACATCCGTAAATCAATATTTTCGCTCACACACAAACATGAATCCGCCAAGAGAACAACAATCGAGCAAAATCAGCAGTGAATCTATAAAAAAACGATCGAGAGCAGCAAGCGCATCAGAAAACCCAATCATTCGACGAGACGAATCATCAATACCATCGCAACAACACCAAGTAAATCATCCATGAAATTCGCTATCCCAGTTTCGATTCCTCGAGAAAATTTTGACAGCTAAACCAGGAAATCAGCTAAGTTTTCGACCTAAATACAATCAATCTCGACTTCGATTGCGTCTATAAACCTAAAATTTCGAAGAATCCACAACTGCAATTCGATCCCGAAACTCTAATCCATCAGTTCACGCAACTCCTTTCCACAAACAAACGCACAATCATATCAAAAGAAAACGCGAAACAACTAACCATCTTCGATCCCGAAGCTACCATCCTCTGGGTCGTAAAAGTAGACGGTTCCATGGAAGAACTCTTCGTACACCCTCAGCGTGAAGCTCACATAGGATCCGACGATCAGGTTTGTGGAGTCTTGGCTCGCCATGGCTGCTCGAGTTAGCGATTTCGCGGAGATTCTGTAACTGTTTCCTTCTCTGACTTCTACGGGAAGATTCTGTAAGTTCTTTGAGAGTCACAGAGTGAGGATCTATTTCCGTGGATGTGCCTTTATATAGGCCGTTGGAGGGAAATGCGATTGCAATTTCTTCTCAAGCCGATTACAAAAGGTGTGACGTTATTTTTTAATTCCGATACATGTGTATTGAAATAAAATCATTGTTTTTTTAGTTAATTAATCATATCATATGTTATTAATTCGACTATTGTTATTTTAAATTTTTGGGCTAATTGTCCGGTTATAGGATAATCCTCGTCGGTTTAGAACTAAATTACAGTTTGATTAGAAGGCCTCTACGTTTGCGATTTATGTTCATTCGTCGTAAGTCAGTTCCTTTTACGGATTTTCGGCCCATGGACCATTTTTATTACTTAACCCCATCCAGATTCAGCCCATATAAAAAAATAAATATGTTTATTTATTAATACACAATTTAAATCCAAAAATAAATAAATCAAATAGAAGAAAGAAACCGGAAGAGAAAAAATCTCATAACAAGAAGCAAAAGATTGAATTTCAATGAAACAATGGCAGTATTTCTTTCTCACATCACGTATCCACTCAAAAATAATAATCATAATAACACAAAAACTTTAAACTGTAGAAAAAAAGAATATTATATCCAGAGACTGCTTTAAGATCAGATGATTGCTGAAAAGCCTCTATTTCAGGAAGAGGATTCCGTCTTGGTCTTGTACCTGTACAGAACAACTCTTTTCTTCTTGCTGGAGACATTGTCAACCGTAAGAACAATCTTACCAGACTCACTGTTCTTGAAACTGTTCCTGATCGGTCCTTCATTCGATCCTACTCTCTTCCCCTTTTGGACAATTATGGTGTATCCTTCATCTGCTGGCACAAACTCTTCCTTGTAATTCACTTCCCATCCCAAAACCTCAATGTCCCAAACCAATGTTCCTTGAGCCTGCCCACACAAAAAACCATTATTAGATCCATCTTTTTACAACAACTCCTAGAAAAAAAAAAGATAGGTTTTGGTTTTTTTTTTCAAATTGTTACCTCAGGAGCTGGGATTTCGATGGTTTCAGTTGATCCAGGCTTGACGACAACTTCAGAAACAGCTTCGTTAGAGAATTCAGTATCATCTTCCCTTTTGAAACCACCGTACTGAACCGGGATCTCCTCTGCTGGAATGTACCTTCAAGTCACAATGCATAATGTTATGATAAAGATCAACGACATTCAAAGCATGTTCAGAGTTTTTAGTTTAAGGTATGCTTACTTGAGAAGAGTCTCTGTGACTTTAGCTGGACGAGCCACAACAAACTTGCTCTTGGTTCGCTGTGTTAAGAATGGAGACAGGACAGCGTTGAAGGCATAGAACCAGAACGGAACATTGATGAGAATCTGCAGGACAAAACAACACAGTTGGATAAGTTCCTAAGTTTTGGTCTATGAGAAAAGAGTTGATGATGATTGAGAGAACTCACGTGTCTGGATACGAATTCAGGGTAGTTGTCCTGCAAGTCTTGGATCGCGCGCTTGACTGTGACCCACCAGAGCTGTTTTCTTGTCACACCAGGAGCGTTCTTGAGGTCATGGATCTGGACAAGAGAAGTAACACCTCCTGGTTTCAGATCAAGCTTCTGGATTCCCTTCTCCATCAGCTGAAACCTCCACCTCAAGAACTTCTCCTTGTTCTTCTCCGACCCAAACGCCGTCTGGTACAGCTCCTCGTTGCCGAAGACGCCGTGGAAATTGTAGCAGACAGGGCGGGATTCGCGGTCAACGCCGTTCATGCAAGTAGCAGAGGCGAGATCCTCCCCGAAGTCTTCTCCAAGGATCGAGTCAATGTTCTGCTGCTTCCTCCACTTGAGGGTTTTCTTCAGCATCTCAAAGGCTTCATTGACTCTGAAGTCTCTTGCTCTCAAGAACTTCAAGAGGATCACATCCGTGCCTTCAGCTCCTTTGCTTGGAAGCAATGGCACTCCCCATAGCTCGATATCTTTATCCACCGTCTCATCTTCTTCCTCTTCCTCCTCTACAGTCTCGGCTCTGGCTTCTTCCGTTACAACAGCCTCCGCTTTCTTCTCTTCTTCCACGTTCTCAGCTTTCACTTCCTCCTCAGCGTCCTCCTCTTTGACAACAACAGACTCAGTCTTCACTTCTTCTTTGGGGCTCTCCTTTGCAACAACAGCCTCCTCAACTGCCTCAGATTTAGCTACTTCCGTTACAGCAGCTTTTTCTTTGGGGTTTTCCTCTTTGGGGCTTTCCTCGGCAACAACAGTCTCAGCTTTCTTCTCATCTTCGGTAACAGCAGCCTCAGCCTTCTTCTCCTCTTCAGCCTTTTCCTCTGCTTCCTTCTTCTTCTCCACCTTCACCACAGGGATCTCTTTCTTCTTCTTGAAGAGAGTGTTTTCAACAATGGCTTCCTCAAGCTTCGTCTTCAGATCGCTCAGGGCCTTTTTCTCGGATTCCTTCAGATCAGAGAAGAAATCGCTCTCTTCTTTGAAAGAAGCGCTCTTCTCCACACCCTTGGGCTTGCTCTCATCTTCGTCAGCCTTGTTCTCAATCTCTTCCGCAGCTTTCACTTCTTCTTCCACAACAGCTTTCACCGTTGTCTCCTCATCAACTGGAGCAACTGCAGCAGCAATAACAACCTCTGACTCCACCTGTTTCTCCTCAACCTTAACTTCAGCAGTCATATTTATCTTTGGCCTGTAATCAAATTGAAACAAAGTTTAAGTCTTTGTTACATAAACATTAACCCACTAATAAAACAAATCAACCAGAGTGGTAGTTACTAAATTTGTACTTTGAATAGAAAATCCCCAAAACCTAATTCACATTCTTGATTAGTTGAGATCTAAAAGAAAACTAGCTAATACTTCTTCTTGACTCGATGAGATCTCAAATCAAAACGTGATTCTTGCTAAACCCTAAAGATTAAACCGGCTCAAACAAAAGACTATGAAAAAACCCTAGCTCAAAAACGAAGCGTCCTCTGTTTTTTTTATTCGATATATCAAATCGAGAATATAAGAGAGGCAGAGAGAATTGAAACTTAAAGGAATCGAATTTAACTGCTTCTGAAGAGCAAAGGATTGAGAAATCAAAGAAACCCACCTAAATAAAGACGATGCGACTTTCTGTGATTCTTCAGAATCTCTCTGTATTCGCCTTCGTATTCTTCTTCTTGTTGTTTTCTTTCTAGGGTTTATCTCAATGAGTTGAGGAATTATAAAAGAGAGAAAGAGGAAACAATGGAGCTTTATGCAGAGAAGAAACCCTAGGCTTTTGGGCTGGACCCCACCGACTCTAAGCAACGGTCACATGATGCGGGACCACCAGATAAAAAAAAACACAGAAGAAGCGTAGCCGTTGGATTGGTACATCAATCTCTCTCCTCCATCCAATGATCCATATATTTTAATAAGGAAAACAAAAGTTTACACAAAGATATCTGCTGGGTCCCATATTTGGCTTCGCATGTTTCAACGGTCGTCTCTGCTGATCTGGTCTTCCAACGACTGAACGACACGTGTACTATTCGACAGAGTATGTTCGGCGCAACGGACGGATATACAACCAAAGTCACCTTTTTCTTTTTTCTGTGTTGTTGCAGCGACTGTGAAAGTGTGAAATGAAAACTCAATACATGTTTCTTGTTTTGTTTGATTCTAGTTTTGCAAATTGAGAGGGTATCCCAAGTTGTAAATTAAGTTGATTTGATTATTATAGTATATAATTAGAAAGTACCATGGTATCCGAGAAACAGAGAACATATTATTAAAAAAAAATGAACCTTACAATAATGTGATTCATCATTAAAAGTATAAACTAATCAGACTTTGGTGGAAGTTGGAAACTTGGAAATACGATATTCTCTTTTAGCTGTTGACACCCCAATATGCCAACAAAGCAAATTAAAGACTCTATTTATATATTAATGAGTTGCATTTTCGTATGACGTCTTTGTGACATTGAGAATCAGGAGGTTGCTTTTCGAATTACTAGGTGATTAACTTTTTTTTACTCCAATTGGTTTTAGTAAAAAAAGTCACAAAAGTATACTACTAGATGGTGTTAAGGATATTTGATAAAATCTGAATGTGTGATAAAAGAAAATCGAAATTGATTCCTTTTCTTTTGTTGGAAAACCAAATTTTAGTTATCTTTAGACACAGAAGAATTATTGAAGATTTTAACTGTACATGACATGCGAATTAGATATCAAAAATCACTTTGGTCGTAGATCATATCCTTGACGGGCTTGACCAGAATATTTCCACATCTCATCTATATTCCTATACTAATGACCTCGCAATGATTATAGTGCACCGCCGCAACTATACTTTTATTTTAAAAAGAAAACTATATTTTGCATGACAATAAATAGGCTGAATATACACATTAAGGTAGATAAAACAAAACAAAACACAAAATCAAAAATTATATTGTAGTGTAAGAAAGAATCCCTAAGCTATGAATAGTTGTTTTAGACCTTGCACACACCTTCTCCAAGCTTTGAATTCAACATGTCTTTTGTCCATTGATATTTTGTAACCCTGCTTGTTTCAAGAAATATGTTGTCTTCAACAAACACTCAAAAGAAGTAGGGCCTAAACAGTGGAAATTAATTGGTTGCATAATTCTATAGAGCATAGAGGTTGTTGAGGTCAACTGTTACAGCTAATTCACCACCCAATTCAGCGCAACATAAGGGAGGAGACAGACAGATAGAAGAACAGAACAAATTACAGAAAGAGACAGAGCACAAAAACATCACCAAGATCGAGCTGTACAAAAATCAAATCTAAAGTCACGTTTTTTAATCAGACTCATCAGAACACGAGTACCATCCGCATTACACAGAGACAGTCTGTTAATACTTTTACAAAGGTGAGTAAAGACATTTTGCCTCCACCAATGGCACCATTCAAATTTAGCAGACAAATATTACCGATTCGCTTATGTCCAACGCGCCAAAACGATCATGACCGTCTGTTTGATCTCCTTTCAGGCTTCTCAGGCGTTATAGGAGAATCTGAGTACAAACCAGTTGCCCTGTCGCAAAAAAAAAGATTTCAGAACTGAATCAAGATCCTAGGAATTGTCAATCAAAGTTTTAAATAGGTTTGGTGTTGTTACAGGAAATCGAAAATCAACGCTCAGTTCTTTAATCTAAACTCTGAGTGCTTCAGAAAAACTTCAGCTAGTTCTCAATGCCATAAACTTGTTCACTCCATTAACTTGGATTATAGCCACAGGGGAAAAGGTTGAAGAAGTTTAGTGTACCTGTCATAACACAAGTGCGCATCACCGATTTGTCCTGCAACCTTGTTTCGTACTTTCCTCACACAAATCTGAAACATACGCGCAAATTTAAGGACAAGTAGGCGGCAACTTTGAGAAATAAAAAGTTACAAGTGAGGAAGAACAGATTGGTACTCACTTGCACTAGATCAAGGGGTCCAGCGTTTTCATCGCGGTTTCTGTGAATAACAATCCCATTGTCACATTTGTTAATGAAATGCGCACTCCCGCTGATATCATAAAGGTTTGGTGGACCACCGTCCCATTGTTGCAGCTGTTTCGGATGTGCAACAAACCACACATGACAAGAGTGATGTTGCGCAAAGCGTTTTATCTTTGTAAGCATCTGGCTAACATATTCTGTCTCCGTCCTATCCAAAACGAATCAAAAAAAAACTTTCATGTTTCAGGAAAGTAAAGAAGGTGAAACTGATCGAAGCGAAAACGTTTCTGTCACTTACTGTCCTGGAGTACGTTGATGATCAAGCTCATTATAAGGATCTATTACAAGTCCTCGAATCCCATACCGAAGAACCGCAGCTTTCGCACGTTCCAGAACCCAACTGATGTTTGGAAGTGAATCCATCTCACATCTGATCTCATGAGAACCCAAAAAACACCAAAATTTTACCATGACATGTCCACATAGCATAACATATCAGCGGAGAGTCAAGATCTTACCTTATGAGAGAGAAGGTGTCATTCAACCACTGTTTCCCTTCATCCAACTCCTCAACGCTCATCCGTGGGACAGTTCTCCCATAACTGTTGAGAAAACAAGGGAGAAACATAAGCTAAAGATGATCCATCATCACAATTCACACACCACTTCCAAGAATGAGCAAGGTCTATACAGGGTCAGAGATTACAAGAGCACCAGTTCTTGTGTTTCCTTCAGATGTGTATGTGGATTTTTTCTCAAAAGTACAAAGACTTACTTCGCGTCAAAGAAGGGCTTCTCCACATGTTTTTCCAAAAGTTTCCTGCCATGATCTCGTACCTACAAGCAGTAAGAACAAGAAATGATCAGGTAAAACTAGTATAGAGCAGTTTTTCCCCTCCAAGGACTAATTCAGAATCACACCTTATTCTCCATTGAGCAGAGGGTAAATTTCCAGCCAACACTATGGTTGAGATTACATAAGAGAGCATCGATCCATTCACTCTTTCCGGAATTAGGAACCCCTGTCACAACCGTCAACTCCCCTGGCACAACCTGATCAACAGAAAATTGAGAATATCACATCAGACGATGTGCCAACAAATTATTATTACTATTTCCTTTAAAAACTGACTTCAATGCTTACACTATAGAAGTTGTCCAATGTTTTCCACCCGGTTGAAACACCATACTCGTGTCCATGAGTCCTATGATAGTAGGCATCAATTTCATCAAAGAACTCTTTGAAGCGAAACAATCCTTGTATAGGGTATGGCTCAGCACTTTGAATAGCTTCACTGAGTGAATGAGGTCCCTTAGACATGAGCACCTAAAGAAAGTCATTCCAAGTAAGGAATCATTTCGGTCATTTTTAACCAAAAGTAACAACGAAAGCAATTCCATAACATTTACATATAAACTAATCTAACCTCATTTGCATCTTTGCAAAGCTCATCCTCACTTTTCTTCGGCCACTTAACACGCCAACATCTTTCTTTGCCAAGACGCCGTGCAACTTCTTCAGCCAGAGCTTGACCAGGTCCATCTCCATCAGTAGCAATAATGATCCGTTTAACCTATAAATAAGAAACCCTTTTATACCCAGACTCTTGGAATCTTGTCATTTAGATAATTACATACCAAGCAGAATAATAAACTATCACACACCTTCTTTAGGTAGTCATTGCAGTTCCATAGAAACTTATACTTCGTGTCCTAGCTTTGCAGAAGATTAAACTGCTTAGTATAATCAAATAAGAGATGATAAAAAGGTATAAAACCGTAAGGACCAGACAAACCTTGGCTTCAGATGGAGTTTCCTTTGCAGAAACCGACGCTGGAGCTCCATCAGGAACGGACACACAGTTTCGAAAACCAGCTTCTTCCATGGCAAGTTTGTCTATTTCGCCTTCAACCTAAAATTTAAAGTTCCTCAAAAAGAGTTAAAATACAGTTCTTCACTGTTAAGCCTTCGACCATGTGATCATTTAAAAGAATGTAAAGGCAGACATACTATAATGATTTCAGACGCTTTTTCAATGTCATCAAGCCCATAAAAGACCCTCCGTGTGTTCTTTTCCTGAAGGAAACACAAAGAACAAAGGATGTAAGAAACAGTCATAACAGAATGCTCAAAAGAGTTGTTCACGTCTGATATTAGAAAGGGTAAACCTGAAAGAACTTCTTAGTTAGATACCGGTACTTGCAACTCACAAGCTCCCCTCTTTGCCAATACGTAAAAGCAATTACAATCTGCCGCATAAAATGACGCAAGAAATTTAAGGTAAGAAAAAGTAAACAACAACAGAGTCAGATCCACAGGAGCAGAATCAAGCATGATCCTTTCGAAAAGAATTTAACTAGATAAACCATGATTTTCTGAATTGCAATCAAGGTGAAACAGTGAATGCCAAATAACCAATTCAGAAGAAGACTCGTAAGTACCTCATCACCTATTCTTTTCTGCATAACCCGGTTTCTCTCAAGTGTTTTTGCCGAAATCATTCTTGCAGCGAAATAATCCTTGATCTGAAGCATAACCAAGAACACCATAAGATTTATCAAGTATCAAATTCACATAGTTCATTCGTTTTCTAAAGAAAACAGTGAACACGAAATAAAGACCAATAAGTATGTCGAAAGAAAAGTATAAAAGAAGACAACCTCATCACAGAGAGGTTCTAGCTCCAAACTCTCGACCGTAACTTTTCTTTCAACCTTCTCTATTGAATCTCCAGATGTAAACCTACCATCCACCTGCAAAGAGGGATGAGTATATGTTTCAAATATAACTAATTTGTATTTCATGAAACGCCGGTCATGCTCATGTTGAAACTCACCCGTACTCCACCTTTTAACCCACACTTCCCCCGAAAGCAATTCCATGTAGCTGACGAACTATGAAATTATAAGTGCAAGTTTAGTTACAGTCTCAAAAACAACAAATTCAAAACCAAATATATTCCATGAGAAATTAAGATAGCATACCCATCAGGGGAAATGTAAAGAGACAAGCTTTTTTCACCGGATTCACCACCTTCACACTGATGTACACACATAAAAACAGTGAACAATACTGAATCAGCCATTTTTCCGGATAACTTAAGAACATCTATCAAGGCAACATTCACATAGTAACTCAAGTCTTGGCATATCATTCATGAAGCATGTGAAGAAGACGGAAAGAGATATGCTTTACCTTGGGACATATCAAGCCACTGTATTGTCCCGAGGGGCAGTTTTCAGCATCAATCCCATTTTCCGCCAATTTACGCCTCAAGTTCGCTAATCTAGTTTGAACAGTCCTCTTGTCTGCTTCTTCTTCCGGATCAACTACATAGCACAAAACGTTTAGAATTCATATAAACAGCTCCATTATAGAGCAGCAATTAACAATGGGGGCTCAAGAAAAATAAGCATGAAGACAATTTAAAGCTGCAAAAGGTGAGTTTGGAACAGAATCATAACCCTTCGCCTCAAGATAAATGCCGAAATGAATCAAATGTCCACAATTTCCAAAACATATAGAGAAATCGGAACAGATAACTCGAGCATTCAACAGATACCTGGAGCTGGGGCTTTGGAGATTGAAGTGTAGGATGATGATAAACCATTGGTCTTGTGGTGATAAGGGCTGTTTTTAGACACGGGTCTCGAGGCAAAAACCGGACGACATCTTCCAGAAACTGAAGATAGTTGCCTTTGCCTTCCAGACGTATGAGATGGAGAAAGGGAAGAAGAAGAAGCGACAAAAGATGGAACGAGACAAAAGTCGAGGAATTGCTTCGAGCCCATGAGTACTGACATCGAACAAGACAGTTTCCGCAGGTGGGTTTGTGGAAGACGAAGCAAAAAGCGCATCTTGAAGTATAGTTTGAGTGAAAACTCTTCAGCTACTATCCTTCATAGTGCTGATTTCTCTCAAGGGTTTTAGGGGTTCTTCTCCTGCCTCTGTCTCTGTGAATTATGGAAGGAGGAGGAGAAGAAGGAAGCGAGGAAATTTTGATTTCGCTCTCTTTGAGATAAATGGGCTTCCAAATAAAAAGGCCCATAAAGTTTTACATAAGATCTGTTGTATTTATTTCGGCCCAGAAGTTACCAATTCTGTTCACTAAGTTGAGAAAAAAAACTTGGCGACTCAAAATTATTTTTTAGATATTGATATTTATAACAAATTAAAAATATAACATTTATATTTAAAAAAATATTTTTTTTACAATCACAGTTTTTTGTTACCAATCATACTTTAAAAAATATATAAAGTAACAGCTTTTTAAAGTCAAAATTTCTACAGCCAAAAGTCTACGATCAGAACCTACCGTGACAGTCCTTATTAAACCCGTTAGCGACGAAGTTAAAAACGGATTCAGTTGCTACTCACGGTTTAATCCGGTTCGGTTCGGCTTGGAGAAAATGGAGGATCTCAATCCGGTTCGGTTCGGCCCACGATTATATATTCGAAAATATATCCGTTAAGATACAATTTGCTGTTAAAGATGCATATCAGAGAAATATTATATCTTCACAGTAATTCACTTTTGTTATCTCTCTCTCTCTCTCTCTTATTTTCTTGACGAATTCTCTCGATAAGTCTTCTTCGGCGATTTGTACAAGAGGGAAGTTCATGAGATTCTTAGATTAGTAAGTTTTTCGATTTCTCTTGTGTCTTGTAGATCGTGAATTTGTTTTTGTTCGTTCTTATTTTGTTTAGGATTTCGCGTGAAACTGACACGATCGGTTGGGTTTCTTCCTCCTCTTTGCGATTTTGTTTTTAGGGTTTCAAGTCTCCCGTTTCGTTGGTTGAAATTTCACGCAAATTGTTTTTGTTCCTCTGTTTCTTGAGCATTCAATCGAACGAGGACGAACACATCTGATAAATTTCGATTCTTTCTAACATGGACGATGTTTTTAGGATTTTGGAATCATGATATTTTCTCGATGTGTTTTCTTGATTCAACAACAAAGATTCGTCTTTTAATAAAGATTTCAAAAGATTTGCTTTTGGTTTTGGTTTAATCAAACCCCAAGAGATTATTAGATAAACGCTCGTCTTAGTTTTGTAGGATTTTGGAATCAGGATATTATCTCGATTTGTTTTCTTGATTCAACAACAAAGTTTCGTCTTGTAACGAAGATTTCAAAAGATTTGCCTTTTGTTTTAGTTTTAACAAACCCAAGAGATTAGATAAAAACTCGTCTTAGGTTTGTAAATCCCAAACAAGATCAAAAGGCAGACACTAATCTAATAGTGTTGTGCCAGATTCTAGTTTGGGTACATATTGTCCCGTTGCGTGATTGAACCGATGTGTTGGGTGGTAGTGCATGCTTAATCAAAGGCTTAAAAGTCCCGTGGGTACTTTGTTGGATGGAATTGAAAAAATGACTGTGACTGTGACTGAGAAGAAAAAGTCTTAAGGCAAAGACTGTGACTGAAAAGGCTTCCTTAACTTTACTTAGTACCAACGGCTTACAAAAAGTTTTCAGACAAAGGCTATGAATTTGTTGGATGGATATAACGACCAACGGCTTGAAAGTCTTAAAGACAAGGCCTGTGAAATTAAAATGGTACCCACGGCTTGTGAATGAACAATGTTGCTACCCACGGCTTATGAAGAGGCTTATGTAAAGTTTTGACAAAGAGTGTGAATCGAGCACATAATCACTGCTTACCCACGGCTTTATAAAGAATCTTTAGACAATACTGTAAATTATAGAAGATTGTAGGATAAGGATTCGACTCTCATGATAGGAAAATGTGAAAATGTATTAGATGAAGAAAAGTTATCTACAATGAAGGGGGATACACAGTTTATATAGAACACACTCTAGGTCTGAAAGGGTTACACACAAAGCCACTATTGCGTCCTCATTCAGCCTTATACAAACCGTGTATGACTCACCCCTTTACAGCTCATAACGGTAACAAGAGGATAAGGGTGAAGGTACAGCGCTATAAGACAAAGTGTACTGCCACCTTATCCCTTTAGCCTTTTATCCTCTTTTTCCCTCTTCTTTCTAATACAAACTAACTTCCTTATTACTCAAGTAACTGTATTTTACTATGTAACTATTAATTAGTTACTAGTAAATACCTTCTTGATTAACACTCCCCCTCAAGTTTATACTACAATACTGATTGTGTATAAACTTGGCACTTGCAAGGATAACCTCATTAAAAACCTAAGCTTGGAAAACCACGTGGGACAAAACCAAGCTTAGGGAAAAAGAGTATTATCCCTACAAGTTGGAGAGTCTCTCTCAAGGATGTGTTAGGTCTACAAGACCAAGCTTACCATGGATAAATTGGCAAACTTGGTTACTTGCTGCCTTGGTAAAAATGTCGGCCAATTGGTCCGAACTCTTAGTAAAACAAGGGAGAATTGTACCATCTTCGATCTTCTCTCTTGTCTTGTGGCAATCCGTCTCTATGTGCTTGGTCCTCTCGTGAAACACTGGATTAGTGGCTATATGGATGGCAGCTTGGTTGTCGCAATGGAAGGTGATTGGCGTCTTCTGCTCTATCCCGAAGTCCTTAAGTAGAGCCTTTAGCCAAGTTAGCTCGTTTGTGAGCTTCTTCATCGCCCTATACTCTGCTTCAGCACTGGAACAAGACACCACCTTCTGCTTCTTTGTCTTCCAAGTCACAAGATTTCCACCAATGAAGGTGCAAAAGCCGGTTGTAGACTGCCTTGTGTTGCGATCTCCATTGTAATCTGCATCACAGTATCCCACTATTTCCGTGCTTGAATTTCTTCCCATCCAAATGCCTTTGCCAGGACTCCCTTTGATATATCTCAGAATCCTTTCCACCAGGCTCCAATGGTATACCGTAGGTACTTGCATGTGTTGAGCCACCTGATTCACAGCAAAAGAAAGATCAGGCCGAGTATATGTTAAGTATATGAGCTTACCCACGAGTCTTCGGTACTGTTCCGGGCAATGATATGGAGTATCATCCTTCTCCCCCTTTCGATTGACCTTGTATCCTTGCTCTAGTGGTGTGTCCACCGGTTTAGCTCCAAGTTTTCCTGTAAGCTTTAGAAGATCAAGTGCATATTTCCTTTGTGAGAGAAATAGTCCCTCCTTGGATCTACACACTTCAATCCCTAAGAAATACTTCAAAACACCCAAATCTTTAATATCAAAGGCTGAGTGCAAAGAGGACTTAATGGCTTGAATACCCTCTTTGTTACTCCCTGAAATAATCAAATCATCCACATAGACCAACACTACTACTATGCCATGAATATCTTGCTTAGTAAATAGAGTGTGATCAGAGTGTGACCTCTTGAAGCCATTAGCCAGTAGTGTAGAGCTTAACTTGTGATACCAAGCTCTTGGAGATTGTTTAAGCCCATAGATTGCTTTCCGAAGCCTTAAGACCTTTCCCGGAGCCACTATGTCTTCTAAACCCGGAGGAGGTGACATGTAGACTTCTTCTTCTAACTCCCCCTGAAGGAAAGCATTCTTGACATCCATTTGCCACAACTCCCAATCCAAATTAACTGCTAAAGAGAGAACCACTTTCACTGTATGTTGCTTAGCTACTGGAGCAAATGTTTCCCTATAGTCATCCCCATAAGTTTGGGTAAACCCTCTTGCAACCAGCCTTGCCTTATATCTCTCGATTTCACCATCACTCTTGTACTTAATGGTGAATACCCACTTTGAGCTAACACACTTCTTTCCTTTTGGTAGTTCTTCTTCAACCCAAGTTTGATTCCTCACCATAGCTTGAACCTCATCATCAACAGCATTAGTCCATTCCTTACTTTCCTTGGCTTCCTCATAGCTTTGTGGGATGAGTTCTACATCCAGCTTGCTGATAAAAGCTTTATGCTCCTCCGGAAGAAGGTCAATCGAACAAGTAGCTTGAATTGGATGAGCTACAGCTTGGCAGTTGTAGTAAACTCTCGTATTCTTCCACTTTGAGGGGGATTTCTTCTCTCTTGTACTCTTTCTTTGATTCTCCCGAGTGTAGACTGGATCTGGTGTAACTTGTGGAGCTTGATAGGTATCGTCATCGCTTGAAGATTCAATGAACTCTCCTTCACTAGACTGACCCGATTCAATGACCTCTCCTTCACTAGACTGACCCGTCTCCTCTGCCACTTCTTCACTAGACTGACCCGTCTCTGCCACTTCTTGGTGATCATCCAAAAGATCCTGAGATGCATTGTTCTCATCCTCTCTAACTTCATGCACATCCTCATTTGGAAATGATGGAGCTTCCTTTTCTGCCTGAGGGGAGCTTGCATTCCCTAAGTGCTCCAGAATTCGTCGGAGGCTTGAAGCTCTATCAGCGGTTGAGTTAGGTAGGTCCTTCACACTCTCCCAACTCTTTTCCCCAAAGTAGGCTTTGTCTTCCAAAAACTTGACATCCCTTGACACATAGTACCGGTTGGTGACTGGATCGAAGCACTTGTAGCCCTTCTGAGTTGTTGAGTATCCAATGAATACGCACTTGTTACTCTTAGGCTCCAGCTTGTTCCTTAAGTCACCTGGAACAAACACAAAACACAGACTACCAAACACCCTCAAATGGTCAATACTAGGATTTGAGTTATTTAGGATTTGGAAAGGAGATTTATCATCAAGGATACGAGTTGGTGTTCGGTTGATGAGATAGCAAGCTGTCATTACTGCATCGCCCCAAAACCTCTTAGGCATGTGTTTTTGAAATAGCATAGCCCTTGCCACCTCCATTAGGTGCCTATTCTTTCTCTCAGCAACACCATTTTGTTGGGGGTTATATGGGCAGCTGGTTTGATGAAGAATTCCACATTTCTCTAAGTATTCTTTGAGCTTGTTGCTTGTATATTCACCTCCATTATCTGTTCTTAAAATCTTAATCTTTGCAT